AGTGAAATGATGTATTTGTAGCGCTCTGCACTTCAGAGAATGAAAAGGAAATAGTGGCTGTGGGCCGCTGTCAGAAAGATGTATTCTGAAAAGGAGAAGGGATGATAACTACAAGGAATGCAATAGCCAGGGTGATTTGGCATTCATTTTGAGCCTGAAAGATGGTCACTAAGCACTAACCAGGTGTATCATTAAAGTCTGTTGTTACCCACCGCCTGTGTTTTAATTTTCTGGTTACAAAGAGGTGTGAATAATGGGCTTGACAGCCTTTAAAGCAGACAGCAGTTACTGGGAAGAAAGCCCACAGTGACCTGACCATGCACTTGTGTTACAATCACTGCTCAAAAAAAAATAGACCTCTGCTTTTGTTCCAGTTCTAGGAGATCTTTTGTATCCTGAGTTTCAAACTATGTCCTAAAGATTCCTGGGCTATACAAGACAGACAAGTCAAAACAACTTCTGCAAGGCTCTCTGGACTGCATAGGAAGAATTTTGTTCTGCAGTGAGCTTTGTAGCAGACTCTGCTCACAAGCTCTCAGTCCATGCTGTGACCTTCAGGGTTGGTGGACTTGTTTTGCAATGACCATTGCTATTGCATTACTCTGCTGTTTGACATCCTGTTGTTTGATTTGTCCAGCACAGAGTTAAACATGATGAGGAAAACACTGCGTAGGGGAGAATCCTTTTATAGCAAGCTGTATCCTCCTTTCTTGTGTCTCCCGCAGTCGGATCTGCTCTCACTGGTTTTTTGATAGAATGGTTTTCCATAAAAACACCGCCCAGACAAGGAAACTTTTATGTCTTTGGGAGTAAGTGATGGAGCTGACTGCTTTTCTCCACATATGGCAGCAGCTGGAGCAGCTGAAAGAAGGGACATTTGTAGTCTGAGGGAAACATCAAGTGCCCAAGATCCTTGGGCACCTGATGTGCCCCTTTGGTTTTGGGCACTTTCTGCCATTTCTGACTCACAGGAGCGAGCTGTGCTGGTGGCTCATCAGGCAGCAGCAGGGACACACAGCATTTGTGTGGAGTTAGAGACTGCAAGGCAGCCAAACTTCCATGTCCTGAGTTTGGTGAGGTGTGGTATGTGCCGAGTGCCCCTGCCCTGTGTGACATCCTGAGGGTCCTGGAACCTGCACCAGGGTCTGCAGCCAGAGCCTGCAGGGCTGCTCTCATCTGTGGTGCTGCAGGCAGGGCAGCCAGGGTGGGGTAAGGACACAGAGCAGCAGTGCAGCCAGGGGGGCAGGCAGGACACAGAGAGCAGCAGTGCAGCCAGGGTGGGGTAAGGACACAGAGCAGCAGTGCAGCCAGGGTGGGGTAAGGACACAGAGAGCAGCAGTGCAGCCAGGGGGACAGGCAGGACACAGAGAGCAGCAGTGCAGCCAGGGGGACAGGCAGGACACAGAGAGCAGCAGTGCAGCCATTGGGGTGGCAGGGGAGGCACTGTGGCCTTGGCCATTCACTGCCTGTGACCTCTCTCTCTCTCTGGAGCTCTGGTGCTGCCCAGGGGGCTCTGCCCAGGGCTGAGCTGTTTTCTCCTTTGCACCTGCGTGGGGAAGGAAGGCAGGGCTGGCACTGGGCTGTGGGCAGCACCGCATCCCACAGGAATTATGATAGAGCAACTGGTTTGCAGTTCCTATGAAGAAAAAAAAGAAAATAAAATTAAATGAAGTATTTTCCTGTAGCAAATGGAAGATCTGCTGCTGGTCATGAGTTATTCTTCCTGTTTAATCCTGTTCCTTGACTTGGTATTTCTATTTAAAGAAATAAAAATATTTACTGCCTGAGATAAGCATCCATTTATAATATTCTTACAAAAGAGCTATAAGCATTTCCAACTTTTCAGGGCATTACCCATAACAAAACTCAAATAAATAAACAAAAGGGAAACAGCACTGTTCTCTCTGGAGAATAATTTCTCTTGCAAATAGAAGTTCATGCAATTGTCAAACTACTCTGCGTCAGCCAATTTGAAAAATTTTTTAAATTCTTCCTCTTTAATAGCTTGTGAAGAAATAATTTCATGAGAGTGAGGGAGAGATGATCTGTAAGTAAGCTTTCAGAACAAGCTGCATTCAGAAACTCATTCTACGTCTGTCAGCCTAATTTAACAGAATTTCATCTTCACATGTGAATATAAAATATAAATATGTAAAGTAAAAAGTAGGGATGGAGCCCAGCTATCAGATAATTTAGGTTATTATTTGTGTTTGCATTTATTCCCTGTTCTTTTATAAAATGTTTGTCCTTTCTTCTTTGTAGCATTAATCTGATGAGGGGTTTGCTGTTTGAGATGAGACAAGAAATAAACATGAGACCTTTTTCAAGCTCAGTGCCTAGTGGCCATGAATGAAAATGAAAATATCTTGGGGTTTTTCAATTTCCAAGTGCACATTGCATACATTGTGCATATTTGCACAACTTCAGCTCTCTATGTAGCTTCAAGCTGCAGCTTGGGAGCCATAGGAATGCTGGACCATTAGGTCAGATGTATGAGCTACAAATAACTAAATAAAAATAAATTTCTCTTTTTGTGGCACATAATAGCAGCTGTCTCAGTAGTCTAATGAATATCACGGATCAACTGAGCATGATTTTCAGATATTTCTATACTTTCTATCCTTTCTATTTAGTGTACTAAAAAGACACAGCCATTGACAACAGGCCATACCCTGCTTTCTGTTTGTTTGTGTCATCACCCTTGGTTTTCATCTGTGCTGTGGTCTGAAAGGGATTTAGAGACACCAGACCAAACCTTACCAATCAAGACTTAGTAAATCAATACTTAGGCTTCTGTATCCTGTTTTTAAAAGCCATCATTGCTGAAGAATCTGCCATCAACTTGTGTCCTGTCTTTTACAAGTTTTCTAGCTCTGTAGCCTGGTTCTCACTGCAGGTTGGAACTCCTGCTTTGATTGTACCCACTACAGACATGGGGGACAGATTATTTTCTTCTTTACAACAGCCTCAGTCAGACTTGAGAGTTTAACTCTGTGCCAATGGCACTTCCATCTTTCAGCTAAACATTTCCCATTCTTTTAACCTTTATTGTGTGGGCTCCAGTTTTAAGTAGACCACCTTTTCCTATGGACTGTGCACCTCTTCCTGGCAGAGAAGTCACAATAACTCCAGTGTGCCAGACAAGCAGCCAGAACTACCACCATGCTTCTCATGCAGACTATATTATTCTCTACATCATAATGTGATCTTTGACTGACCCTTTCCTGCAGATCTGCTGCTTATGCAGTTATTTCCATTTTATATTTCAGTAGCTGCTATTTCTGCCATGTATGGGATTTTACAATTGTCTTAATAGAGTTACCTCCTATATTTTTACTTTCCCCACCTCTTATTTCTCCAGCTTGTCATGAACATTTTGAATTCTAATCCTTCCTCACAGTGTATTTACAGCTCCCCCAGACTGGTGTCAGCAGTGAATTTAATCAGTTTACTTGTTGTTCCGTGATTAACAGGAGGGCTGATAAAGCTGAATAGACAAACTCCTGCACCCGAGGCAGGTTGCTCTCCCTGTTGGGAACTGACTGGTTTCTAAACTGGTACCAATTTCCCACCATCCCCATACCTGCTTTATAAGAGTGTGATCAAGAGTGGTATTTTCCCCAGCTTGTGTGTAAGAATGTCATGTGAGATTGTAGTTAAGATATTGAGCAAAGTTTGTTTAGATAATCACCTCCTTCTTCACTATATGCAAGGCAGATTATTCTGCTGTAGAAAGGAAATAAAAAGTTCCTGATGTCTTTTATCCATTTCCCTTTCTGACATTCTGTCCATTCCCTTTCAGGTGAATGCAAGAAGTTTGCCTCTTTTAGAGGTTTTTTTTGTGTCAGTGACTCCTGAATTAAGCCACACTTATCATTACAAAATTTTCAGTCCTCATAGGAACCAAAATCATTTACTGACCCTATCTCAAGAATCTTCATTACTGTTATTACCCTGGGAGAAGCAAAATGTCTTTGAAGAGCTGCCTGGCACTAAGTGGTGTCTGAAATCTTAAGCATACAAAAACTAACAAAAATGCCACCATTTAAGTGCACATTCCCACATTGCTTTCTCCTTTCTGACTAAATAGCCAATAGAAGCAAGGATTAGGTTAATTCATTCCAATATTTAGACTAAATAAATTTCCAGAACTTCCCATTTCTGACCCTCTTATTTCTTGCAAGCAGCACCTGTTTTTGAAAGTCTCCCAGTTCACCCATGCTCCCCACCTCTGTATTGCAATTGCCAATACTGAAGGCACACCTTACCAAAACCAGGAAAATCAAACCCATTCTTAAGTTTGCATTTAAATCTAGAATCATTGGTGTTTGTCAAGTCACTAAATAAAGTGAAATACCTTGATGCTTTATTTACAAATTCAGGAGGATCTTGGTGCTCCCCTATCAGGGACCCCATTAGTGTGTAAATCCTTGGCGTCACCTGCAGGCTCTGGGGGCTCTGCTCTAGAGCTCAGCAGGAGCTGAGGGCAGTTGTGTTCCAGGAGGACAAAAGCCCAGATGGTTTTCACTCCAGGAGCAGCTCCTGCTCTGGAGAGAGCCCAGCAAAGGGCAGGGGCTGCTCCCTGCAGCCCTGGGTGGAGACAGCCCTGGACTCCTGCTGGAGTCAGCACTCAGCAGAATCCAGGAGGATCCTCATCCCTGAACACAGCAAGGGGCAGCAGAGCCCTTGAGCTCCTGAAGGCTTTCTCAGAGTGGCTATTACACCTCAGATGGTGTGGTATGCTACTGTAAAATAATATCATTTTAAAAAGGTATGGCTTATCTATGTTGGATACCCACCTCCACTGAAAATTGTGTGTAGCTCAGTGTAGGGGGAGAGAACAAGTAAATAAAGGTAGTATAGAAAGTAATGTTACCTCCTAAAGAGTTGCAGCTGAGCCAATTATTAAGGATTAGGAGCGGGCCTGACTTTATCAGGCCACAGCTGTAGCCAGTAAGCAGAGTGTTATAAAAGAGTGGGTTGGTTGGCTGAGGGGAACTGGGGTCAGTGGCTGCTGTGAGGACAAGGATGTGGCACTGCTAGAGGAGCTGCCTGTGAGAAACATCAAGGAGGTACAAAACAGTAGCAATACAGAGCTCTTGCAATGTAATGACAACAGTTCAGGACCTGAGCCTCTAACTACTTTTCAAAGAGGTTTGTTGTACATTGTTAGAATTTGCATCTTTCAGAACTGCAGAAATTATAAAATTTGAAAAATGCCACCTTTTACAGAGTAAAAATAGTTTTTATGGTAACATGGCTCCCCACCTTTTCAGCCATATTTATCTCAGTGGTTGACTTTTGTAAGAGTAACTGAAACCCTGAGAGACTGATGAAGTTTAACAATGTGTGTTCATTATATCCAATTTTGTTCTCTAGGTGAAAACACAGACTCCTAAATCCTATTTAGACTCTGAAATTACAGAGGTTCCAGCCCTCATCTGACCTTAACACCTCTTAGTTTTGTGCAGCTTTTGTAAGCCTGTGCACGTGTTTAAATTCTCCCATGGCAAATGGTTTTGGAGATCAGATGTTCAGGATTAAGAGCACAACCAGTTTTTGCCTTGTTTAAAATAATTTTGCCATTTTAGTGGAAGTCATTAAGATTGTTTTCTTGTACTCTCAAATGGGCCACATTGTGAGTGAGCCATTTTTAGGAAAATTACATAAAAAGATTTGAATTGCTAAATTACTCACCTTGAGAATGTTAGCACAAATATTTTGAAAACTCTGAAGGTTTTATCTGGGGTAAATATTTGTACCTGAATTCCTCCCCTGGGAAGATTAATTCACAAATAAATAAATTATTAAAGTCAGGGGCCCTTCTGAGTAAAAGTATGTAGGAATAGTCACTTCTGGCTGAAGATGCTCTTAGTGTTGTTTATATTTACATTCTTTTTTTTTTTCTTTCTGTCTCTTAACTGTGGAACAGAATAAAAATCTCCCCAAATGGTGGCAGGTTGAAGGATCTCCACACAGGTGCAGCATGGTTCTGTGGGTTCTGATTTCCAGCCAGGAGAATCTCACTAGCTCCAGCCCAGCAGCACAAAGGGTTTGAGCATCTCTGAACCTGGGTGTTTGGCTCTAGAGAAACACAGGCTAGACAGGAGGCAGACACATGAAGGCACTCTGTTTTTATCAGCTCCAATGTCTGCATTAACAGGCAAGGCTGAGAATGCCACCTGCTTACAGCGAGGCTTTCAGCTCATAGGGCATGGAGTTCCTAATAGTGTTCCATTAGATATAATGAGGTGTGCTGGTGCAGATTTCCCCCCTGAAGTTTGCACGCATTTATACAAAATAAGGCTCCTGCTGGGGTGTTTTATGAATGTGGAGTCTTTCAGTTCCAGTTAAATAGGATAACCAGCTGTTTTCCAGGGCACAGGAAGAAATCCTTGGGTTGGTTGTTGTTGCTGCTCTCAGCATTAGCATGCCTGCAAAAAATGAATAAAAACACAGAAATATTTTACTGTAACCTTCTTGAAAGGAAGGCAAGCCTTTGAATGCATCAGAAATTGTTGTCATAGATGCAGGGGGAGAAAAGGATAAAAATCTACTTTTTTTCCGTTCATTTTGTTACAAACCTTCTTTGCATCTTCAGCCTCCAGGTCTCCCTCCCAAGAGTTGTCATTTGTATTGTCACTTGCAAGGCTTTATTCCCCAAACCTGCAGATGTTATTAAATTTGAGGATTATAAGGTTATGTAGGACATGGTAGAAGCCAGATATGGGTTGGATGTTTTTATTAGAGGATTACCAAATTTTGTTAACAGGAGTATGCCTGAGTAATTCTACTGGAATCTCTGCTGTGCTTGTTATGAAACATCTGATCCTGAAGCAGATATAGAGTGCACTGTGGCAAGGCCCACGTTTCTTACCATGCTCAGGACAGGTCATGTTCATGGTGTGTAAAGCTGGATCACTGCAAAGGATGTATAATGATTTCACTGGAAAAAGTGTAATGGTCATGGCAGAGGTATCTCACCATAAAATCCCAAATATCCCAATGACTTGTTCACTTCAGAATCCTTTTCCACTGCTGGCACTTGTTGTAGGCTACAAAATAAAATCAATATACAAGGTGTGTACTTCAATGTTAGTTCCAAATACAGTGAAAATATGTAATGCTGTTTGTAGGGTTTTGTAACTTGAACATTCCTAGTATATGACACCAAGATATTAAGCAAACTTGTTGCTCCTAAGGCATGAGATTATGAGGACATTAACTCTATAAATGTCAATATACTCATGTATTTGTGAGTGTATTTGCATTTGGCTAACTCAAGCTAGTGAGCTTAGAGCAAGAAATCAGATGAGAATGTTGATGAAGAATAAATAAATAATCTGACCCCAGAGACACCATTTTCTCACAGTGATGAACTTGCCCAACTAAGGTCACCCAAAGGCTACTGAGGAAACTTCTCTTCTTCCAAGAGGAAGGTGAGTCAGGAAATTTCCAGAAGCTATGAGCAGTTTGCATAACAACGTGTGCCCTGGTAGGAAGCTCCCACCCATGCAGCCATTTGTTCCCTTCCAGCAGGAGGGGAGAGATGATTGGAAGGGCAAAGGCAGGAAAACCCATGGGACGAGATAAAGCCAGTTTAAGTGGAGGTGGGAAACAGGAGCAAGGACAAGCTGTGATGAAGAAGCAGTCACTGCTCACCAGCACTGCCTGGAGCAGCGTCCTTGGAAGTGCTTTGGTCCTCCCTTTATTGATGAGCATGATGCCACAGGGTGTGGGATATCCCTTGAGGTCAGCTGTGTCACCCCCCAGCCTCCTTTTGCTGGTAGGGTGGGATGGGGCAGAAAAGATCTTAACCCTGTTGTAAGCACTGCTGAGCAGCGGCTAAAACATCTCTGTGTGATCAGCAGTGTTTTGGCCAGAAATGCAAACAAAAGCACCACACAAGCTACTTTAAGGAAAATTGGCTCCATCTCAGCCAGACCCAATGCCCCTGGCAAGGCTGGATGCTGGCATAGCCCTGTCCATGGAAGGAAAAGAGAAAACAGTGTTTGAATCACAGCTAATGGGGTTTGCAATTCCAAGAGAAAAGTGAAGAGAATTGAGGGAGGCATTTGTGTTGTACTTCCAGGTACACCTTTCCTTCTGCTGCAGGGCTGAATTGCTGGGATAATAAAGTCCACTTGATTTATATGAGCAGACTCCTAATCACTTAATAAACCACTCAAGAAGTTATTTGGTAGAGTGGAAAATTATTAACTGGCTGAAGATCCAGCAAACCGCAGCTGTTTCATAGTAAAAACTTGACTGTGAGGACTGGCCCAAGAATGCTCATGGTCAGTGCCAGAAAAAAATGTTTTTTCTAGTTCTAGAGTTATTGCCCGCTTGGACCTACAAGGAAAGGGAAAATTCAGGTTCATGTATATAATTTGAAATTGTAATTCATAACATAAATGAACATTTGCTGTTCATACTGTATTTATGTATTTCCTAGCTGTGAATTAGTCTAAATCCTGTTCCACTCTGAATCCCATCATCAGTTTGAGCTTCCCATAGACTCGTAGAACAACCTGTGTTGGGAGGGAATCACAAGGATTGCCAAAGTCCAGCTCCTGGCCCTGCACTCCAAGAATCCCCCCATGTGCCTGAGAGCATTGTCTGGAACCCTGTCAAGCTGGTACTGTGACCACTGCCCTGGGGAGCCTGTTCCAGTGCCCAGCCATCCTCAGGGTGAGGAACCTTTTCCTGATATCCAACCTAAACCTCCCATGAGACAGCTGTGAAGTCTCCCCTGAGTGTGGCTATTCAGTTTATTAAAATCCACTTGTCTGTTTCTGCAGGAAGGATGAGTATCTTTTGCCTTGGCTGTGGGTATTTACTCATGTTTTTGGCTGGATCCAAGATGTCACAAGAGGATTTCTAGATTTTTTTTTTTGATTTAGTGGGTAATTGTTAACGTCAAGATTGCTCTCACAATATCCAGCTGGGTGAGGATTTTAAAATCAACTTTGGGAGAGTTCAACTAGAATTCCATTATGAAATGTAGATTTTAAGGTACTTCACAATAAAAGGTGAATCTCTCTACAAGGTAGAATAGAGCATGCATACTGTATGTAATCACAGTGTTACATAATTCCTCATTATAGCCCTACAGTCTCACTTTTCAGCCAGTAGAAGAGAATCTCTGTGTTCTGAACACTTCTGGTGTGGTGTGACTACATAGTTTGATAATTGCTGTATGTAGCTTCATCAGAGAATATTGTCACATCACAAAAGGAAGTATGGTCCTGAGATTAAAAGACAGTTTCAGATTCTGGAAGCATTTTAGTCTCTTTCTCTTGACATGGAATAAGGAGTCTAGCCTCCTCTTACCTCCAATTTGCCCTTCTTCAAAATGTTGATAATGATGACTCACTTCCTCATGGGGGTACTTTGAAGCTTAGATGAAGTCTGAGTTGTTTCTGATACTGAGAAAATTGATGTCAGAAACTGCAATATTGGAATACTAATTTTTCAAGGCTTAAAAAAATAATTGTCCCCAAATAAAAAGCTATTTTCTCTGCAATTTTTTTCCCTCTCTATAATATTCTTTGAGTTAATAGAGTCCACACTTAATACAGACAACAGAGGAGACAGTGGACACTGCTTGCTTAAGTAAACAGCAGGTAGAGCCCAAATTATTAGTAAATACCAAGTCTTCATTTTGGTTGAATAATGCTGCAATCCAACAAATAAATGAGCTATCAAGTTTGAATTTATGTAGCATACGAAACACATTAAAGCCATCTGACCATGACAAAGGCCTTTTCTGCTGTGAATAATGAGGCCAACACATTAGAATATCCTTTAGATGAAACATTAAACCCAAGGTCCTTTCTGTTTGTCTTTGGTGGCTCTTCAGGTGGAAGTTAAAGACTCCATGACATTTCACTGAAACCATAGAAAATCTCTGGCCCCCAGAGGTATTGCTTTCCTAGTAAAGAAATAAATTAAATTTAAAAATTAGAATAGCCAAGGCTGTCTATGTGTTGAATATCATCAAGGAAAATGCCAGTTTTCCTCTCCATGAGGAGAATGAGGAAAGCTCTCTTGTTTCATGGAGAGGAAGGTGAGTGTGCCTGATATAAATATAGGTCTTTAAAAGTCCTTTGGGATTTTGGGAGTGTAAAACACAGAAAAATGGTTTGTACTCATCATTAACAAAAAGTGTGGTAAAGGAGAACAAATCCAAGTCATCATATAGGATATCTTTGCATGTGTCTATGTTTACATAACTAGACATGCACTTTTACATGTGTAATTTCCAAAAAGTGGCTTGGAGACAGAAAATATGCCAGGAATAATTCTTTACTTCAGCCTGTACATGTGTGATTCACTTTATGAAGTCCATCTCGATTTTCAGCTTCTTTTGTGTAATTCCAATCATTTTGTATCACTTGAGGTAGTTTAGCTGTGCCTTTAGTCTGAGTCTCAGTTAGTGTTTATCTACTTAGTGAAAACCGGGCTCTTGTTCCCTTGGCCTGCATCTTAGTTGTGTAGTTTCACACCAGTTTCTAAGCATTAGACGTGAGAAGCATAAGAGGCTATGTAAAAGGTAAATTTCAGACTCCTCTCATAGATGCAGATGTACTATTTTATTGTTATCAAGCTTACTGGAGTCACCCATTTGAATTTAAAAGAATTATAGAGAGAACAATCCTCTTGAAAGAAATACAAGAATTAGGTTAAAGCTTAACCCCCTTAGCTGCAGAGATAATGAAGCCTTTCATGAAGAACTGACTGATGAATCTGGGCATCATTCAATATTCTGAATAATGAGCCACTTCTTCTGTCTTGCTGAGAAACATATGGGATGTGAGGAAACCAGCTATAAACCCAGCCATGTCTGTCCCATCCAGCATCCTCCCTGCTGGAGGCAGGGAAGAGCTGCCTGATGAGCAAAGGTGATTTAAGGGAAACCTTGGTATTCAGTAAAACCTTGCTATTCAGTAAAGCAAGCTCAGTCTTTGTGAATCTCACCTGGCTTGAGGCCCCTGTTCTATCAACAGGGATGCCACAGAGAGCTGTGGTGCTTGTCCAACAGGGATTAATGCTGGCTGGTTTAGGGAATCCATTGTGCTCTTAGTGTGTGACTACCTGAAACTTCTGACACAATGGAAATGTCCCACAGGTTGTGCTTTACAGCAGAAGAGAGAGTAGTAACAGGAGAGCAATGTAAAAATCTAACATTGGCACTTCTTCTCATTGATTTCATTGACTTTCATTTCATTCATCCCCACATCAGGGATAGGGAGTCTAATAATGAGGACTGGAAGCACATGCTGCCTTTTCTGATTAGTCTGACATAGAGGGGATGTATGCACCTTATGAATATATCAAATGGATTTTTAAGCCATGCCATTTCTTTCATGACAATAATTAAAGATGCTGTTTCTTTCATGACAGTAATTAAAGATGCCATTCTATTCTAAAGAGCCAGATCCAGCCTGTGCTTTGTGATGGCCACTTTGCACAAGGTAACTGCAAATCTTGTAAATAGCTTGTGTGGTGTTCAAAGTAACAAATGGAGTTTTCTTTTTTTGAGGATTTCTTCTAGACCTAGATGAACACAGAATAGAATTTTCAAATCTAGCTCACTAACTTCTAAAAAAGTTCTACTTTAGTGAGTTGAAAGTTTTGTCTAGCCTTCCATTTTATCTGCTTTGGATGATTATGGACCCTTCCAGGCATAACCTATAGCACTTTACTCCATGCCTAAAATATTTTCAACATGCAGTATCCAACTTAAAAGGTTTATTTTAAAAGTTGCTGATTTCTAACCTTCATTTTCTTTGTCTCTTTAACTGTTGTCCAAAAAACAGGAGGTAGAGTGCTCCCAACACAGAGTCTGTGATGTATGAATGGATTGTTTGGATTCCATTCAGAGGAAGGTGATGATAGACATCTGCCCAAAAAGCAATTAACTGCAATGTATTTAGAGAAGCAAAATAATTCAGTGGGGATTTACCACCTCCAGAAAGGGTTTGTCTTAGAAACAGTGTTGTTATTCGTTGTGGATTTTTTCAGATGTTTTACTCCCAATTTTCAAGAACTAAGAAAAAGAAAAGTCACAAATTATTTTACCATATAACACAGACAACAATATGTAGAAATAATTAATAGGGACATTTGAAGGGAAAACAGGGTCGCACCATTAGCCCCTAATAAAATGCATCAGAGTTGATGAATTATTTTAATGGGACAGAATGACAAAAAAGGGACTGTTTCACCTAAGCAGGGACAGCTGGTCCCTCTGACAAGGATACATTGCTGTCTTGTGGAGTCTGCCAGCCAGCAAGGCTGAAATAATAGCACTGAGAGAGGTGTGGATGCTCCTCGTTCACCTAAGTGGAGAGGTAATACCGAGTCTAATTAGGAACACTTGGTGTTAACTGCTTCGTGTCTGAAGGCACACAGCAGATCAGCTGCTCTCCATCGTGGCCAGGGAAGGTCTGCTTGGATTTTATAGATGGCTGCTCATCCCGGTGCCACCAGCCAGCTGTGCCAAACAACATCCAGCTGACAACTGGCCCTAACAGAGGGGTTTGATCCCTATTTCTGTTCCTAGGTGAGAGGAATGGCAGATATGTCTTTACAAACAAGCCGTGGGTCTGCTGGTAGATAAAACTACTAGCTCTGCAAGATAAAAGAAACAATGGGAAGGATTCCACTGACTGATGAATGGACAAAGATATTCGCTTTTACAAATAAACTTTAGGATTCCTGATAAATGAAATCAGACATTGAGAGATGAAAGAAACAATGGGGAAGAAAAACCCCTAAATTCTGTAGTAATTAAAAATTAAAAGGGAGGGTTATACATCAGAGGGAAATCTTTGAGAAATGTTCAGTATCAGGCTTATCAGGGAGTCTGTACCTCCCGAGTACCTTAGCCAATAGGGAAAGAGAGAAGGGAAATGTGGCTGGGAAATTGGGGTAAAAAGGAGGCTACGTCCTTTAAAAATTCTGGAGATCCCAGGGGAATGCCCCATGGCCTCTCCCTTTATTCGAATACAGCCAGAAAGGACTCCTCTGTCTCCTTTTTGGACACATAAACCTCTGGTGTTTGTGGATTAATTTTCCTAAGATAGGCAGTGGGAGCTTGGGACAAAATTTCCACCTGGGGACCAAACTGGGTGTTTCTCAAAAGCAGAACTGTTCCCTTACCCTAGCTGGCAGTGCCAGGCAACAGCTCTGGGAGGGCTTTAGGGGCTGAAGATTTCTGTGCCTGCAGAAATCCACCCTTGCTGACAAGCCCATGGTGCAGGGCAGCCCTGGGGCTCATCCTGCTGCCCATGGTGCCCTCACCCTGCTGCCAGGGACAGGGACAAGGCCAGCCCTGGGAGTGGGGCCCATGGTGCCCTCACCCTGCTGCCAGGGCCAGGGCCAGCCCTGGGACTCATCCTGCTGTCCATGGTGTCCTCACCCGGCTGCCAGGGACAGGGCCAGCCCTGGGGCTCATCCTGCTGCCCGTGGTGTCCTCACCCTGCTGCCAGGGACAGGACCAGGGCCAGCCCTGGGAGTGGGACCCATGATGCCCTCACCCTGCTGCCAGGGCCATCCCTGGGGCTCATCCTGCTGCCCATGGTGCCCTCACCCTGCTGCCAGGGCCAGCCCTGGGAGCGGGGCCCATGGTGTTCTCGCCCTGCTGCCAGCTGGAGGGGCAGGCACAGCCCGCAGCCAGAGCCGTCTGCCAGCGTGCCAAGCACCGCAGGTGCAGTACAGCATCTCGGTGACTAATTGCAGAATTCACTTTCATACAACGTGTTTGTGGTGGGGGAGAGAGGTGGATTAACTTAACTGACAGACATTGTTCCAATTATTTGAAAGGTGGTTGTAAAATGGCTGTTTTATCTTGCGTCTCATCCGCATCTCAGAACCAAAGTGCTTAGATTTAAAAATATTATCTGGATAGGGATGGGATGGCCCAGGGGACTGAGACTGAAGCAGCTGAGGCTTCATTTGTAAGTCACACAACCAAGGCTAGAGAGGAATTCAAGGCACTGACCCCTTGCTGGCGTTTGTGAACTGGAAATCAGAGTTCCATTCCAAAAGAATTAAGGACCTGATCCTACTTTCACTTAAACATGGTCCAGGCAGGAGTCTTTAGCACCATGTTGCAAATCCTCGGTGCTGCTTTTAGCAAGTATCCTGGCACCGAGGAGATGAAGGCAGGCAGGGGTGGAGAGCCAGTGTGTGGTGCTGCCTGCAGAGCCAGGCTGAACTGCACTGTCACAGCACCACCAGCTCCTCCTGATGCTCACTTTCAAAAGGAAAAAGTGGGGAGCATCTGTTATGTGCAACAGTAAGGAAAAACAATCCAAAACACAAACAAAAACAGCATGTGGGAGGGAGGGAAAGGAAAAGAAGGATGGAAAACAAGCTAAGGAAAAACCAAAAGAACAAACATAAATAGAAAATCCATGCCAAAACCAAAGCCTTTGGTCCCCTGATCAAAATAACTTCGACCAATGTATCTATTCTCAGAAGAGCCCTATTTCAAAAAGCAGCCAGCTTTCTAACAAATAAAGAATTGCTCTGTG